GATAGGAGTGGTGGATCGGCGAGAGGGGTGGGGGATGGGCGGGAGGGAGTGGGGGATGGGCGAGAGGGGTGGGGGATCGGCGAGAGGGGGGTGGGGGATCGGCGAGAGGGATGGGGATTGGCGGGAGGGAGTGGGGGATCGGCGAGAGGGGTGGGTATTGGCGATAGGGGTAGAGGATCGGCGAGAAGGGGTGAGGGATTGGCGGGAGTGAGTGGGGATCGGCGAGGGGATAGCGTGACCTCACTATACCGTGAAGATCATCGTGTCCGAGAGGGCTGACGTACCGCACTGGGTCATCGCGGAAGTATCACTGCACTGGAACATCCTACCGGTGCTCCAGGAAAACAATATGGAGAGATATTTGACGGTTTGTGATCTCGACGAACAAGACAGAACCAGCTCCTCTTCCACTCGAGCAGGCGACTCGACTGGCTGATCGCCTCAATGCACACTTTGCTGCTGTAGGTCCAGGCGTTGCCGCTGCCGCCGCCACAAAACAGGCGGCTGCGCCGCCGCTGAGCCCGTGCCCGCCTCGGGGTGCGCAGTGACCTCTACCGGGTAAAACCGCCAACACTCCCGGAACTGAGGCAGATGCTCGGAAGCATGAGTGTGTCGAAGGCACGCGGCGTTGATGCCATAAGTCTTGCGATGTTGCGCCTCACGTTTTTAGTCACCTGGACCCCACACGTTGCGTGTTGTGAACGCTTCTGCTGAGACGGATAATGTGTCATTCGACAGCGAATTAGCCCGCTGTAGCTTCATCAGCTCAGAGTTTACCACCATGGGCTTAGGAACAGGAGGAACGGTTGGGCCATGCCCCCCCCCCCCCCCACACACTTTACAAGGTGGGGGGCCAGCAGTGTTAACTGCCCCCCCCCCACACACACACACACTTTTCAGGTTAAGGTTGTGTTTACCTGACTTTTGCACCAAATTTAAATATACACTGCCAATTTACCTAGTTCACCTAGCCATCTTCCCCAAGATGCGTCATCTTTTTCGTTTGCTTATTGACCATCGCTTAGTATCACAGCTGCAGGCCGACGCCATGCGGGCTATGGAGACGGTAACGCCGGGAGTTCATGCTGCTGTTGCTGTGACTTGCGAGCGCGTATATTCAAAACCATACTGCATATTTTTATCAGTAATCAATTCTGACTGAATCTTGAACATTTTAAGACAAGCATGGATCAGCCATGTTAATACAAGCTTAGGACCCGTTTCATCTACAATCTACGTTCAGGGATTCCTCAATATTTCTGAAGAAAGCAGAAAAACCCGGAACTGGAGCCTGTGTGACAATTACTGGACCACCTTTGGCGATCAGGGGCGTTCTTGCGTCAATGGGGGCTTCTGTGCTGATACGGGGCCAACCGTGTGGGTAAGAAGGCCTCTCGTGTGAGGGGGGGGGGGAACAATGTGATGTGATATAGCCTTCCAATGGCCACCGGATCGACCAGGAGATCCCGCCCCGTGTCGCTAGAATGCCGGCCATAAGACGCTTCGCGATGGGATGGAGCAAACCTTCAGCTCTTGACCGGAACCGGTAATATGCCCTTGGTGTTGCACTCGAGGGTCCCCTCGCCCGGAAGGAAATAAGGGGCCTCATTATTGTTGAGTAGGGTGAAGATCTCATTATTGCTGAATGGAGTAGGTCGAAATGAATTATTAAAGAAACGGACAAGGCCATCCCATGTTTGCCTAAAAGCGCTCATTTTTCAGAATGGATTAGTGAAAAAAGTGCATCAAAAAGTTTGAACATGCCCGTCCGCAACCTCAAGAGCAAGGACAGTGATGGTCTGGGTTGCAGCTTCCGTAAAACCGAACGGCTTCGGCCGCTGCAAGTGCCATCAGACGGCGGGCGCCGTGATGGTCTGTCTTCTGGGCAAATTGATAGCTACAGAAACACGAAAAATAGAGAATCTAGATTTGCTCTTCCAGTTCCATCGCCGTATTCTGGCACCACTTCGCGGTGCTTAAGGGCCAATCCGGTCTTATCATCAGTCTAAAAATCGCACGCGCGAAATATACGCCCAGACTTCCTTGTAGATGTGAGATTTGATGTCCGGAAGCGTTCAAAGGTACTTCTTTCAGAAGCGTCATCATTTTCGTCCACCCTGTTGGCCACTGCTCAGTATTAGCTGTTGAGTCGAAGCTGTGTGGCCCTACGGAGACTGCAGCGCCTGGAATCGGCATTTTTTTACTAAGATTTGCAAGTACGCATGGTCTACATTATGTCACATAAGTTGTATTACTAACCGATTCAAGTTTTTAAAGTTAATTATTTCAGAACTGTTATTATTTTCGTCCACCAGTGGACCATGAAGAAAAGTTAACTGCTAAGCTAGTGCTCCGCGGCCTATGGAGACTGCAACGCCTGGTGTCGAGGCTTTTGTTGCTAAGATTTGCGAGCACGCATGTTAAAAACCACGTTATATAGATTGTATCACTAATCGATTCTGACTAAATGTTAAACATTTTCAGACAAACATGGCTTGGCGATGCTAATACGCATTGTTGACTACTCGATCTACAATCAAAACGTTCACCCCCAAATTTCGATCAAACATATCGATCTACAATCTACCCTCGCGATGTCCTCAATGTCTGGAACGCAGATGAAACATTATGAAAAATTTTGTGAATTCAGTCGGTTTAGAAAGAGTCAACTAAGCCATTGCAAATTAAGGACACCGGGGATTTATTCAATGCGGTCGTTAAACGCATGTTCTCTGCAGGTCGTTGATTTCAACACGCGCTCGGGTGAGGGGTCAAATTGACTCGCCCCGAAAGTTTCTCCAGAGTGGTTTCCGAACGCATAGTTGTAGACAAATGAATAGCGGATCATTTGGCATCAAAAATGTATATATACTTTGTAAGGTCGCTAACCTATGGCAGGTCAGTCAGACCATGGTTTCAGGGAAGTCAACTTCTAGGGAATCGTTCAATCTGATGCAGCAAGGGAGTGTTAGACGAAGCCATACATCTCTGAGATGCTTTCTTAGGCAACACAAATATTGATTGAGAAAATTACGTTGGCCTAAGGTCAGGTATAAATGTCAGGCCAAGGTCAAAACCAACCTGATTTATTTCTCTAGGGCTCGCTGTATGGGATAGTTTCTGGTACTCACTTCGAGTTTATTGTTAGCAGGAACCGCATTATGCATCGTCCATGGACTTCTCAGAGATAAGAATAGGTCATTGACCTAAAATGACCTAGGTCACATTTTGGTTTTAGAAACACACTGCCTAGCGCAATCTTTTTCGCCTATTCAAATGCAAAACTCAGAGCAGTCTTGTGTGATTTCGGTCACCATGACCTTCAACAGGCCAAACAAGGTCACTGACCTTGACTGAACATGTGACCTTTTGCTAAAAAACAATTATCTAGGTTCTGGGGGCACGTAAAGACGTAACTACGTGAAGACGTACGCGCGAAATTTGACCTTTTTAGGGGCACATATTGAAACTGATAAGAGCACTCGGCCAACTTGTATATCACCGAGCGAGTGCTATGTGAGCAAAGAGTTGCGGGCAATATCAGCTGAACAGATGAAAATGTATCAATGTTCCATTTTGCATGTAGAGGGCACCACCCGATACGTAGCCAGATCAAACACCAGCTATACCCGTGGAAGCGTCGGCTGGCGTGATGACGCGCCGAGCGTGACGTGTTGGCCGGCCCGTGCGCCACACATTCGCCGCCCCGCCCAGCCGTGGCCGCGTTGTTTGCCCCTGACCCAGCACGGCCGGCGGCGGGTGCCGGCCGGGGCCGTCACAGCCCGTCGATACGTGCGGCGTATCCATAACAGGCCGCAGACCACCTGGGCAGATCAATGGCCCCAGGGCAGCCGGCGGCCGGCCCCTGCCCGGGTAAGTCCGCCCTCTGACCCCAGCCACCGAGTGGCCGGAGGGCAGGGGTCACGGGGTGAACCGGTTACCATGCCGTGGCGTTGTGAAGCACGGCTGTTTTGCGCCGTTCGCTTCGGTCGGCTGTGGTTGGATTTCACGGTGTAGGAGAGGGGAGGGGCTGCACGCAGCTAAACGTGGAGGTAAAGAATGCAGGCTACTGGTTCTATGCACACTCCGTTTTGTCGATACCTGCTTAGCGCGTGGCGGTGTTTTGCCTTTACTGGTTTCCATTTGATTTTCGTAGGCGAAATACGGGGCGGAGATAACAGCGTCGTCAACATCGCCATAAACTAAAACACACCGATTGCGCTGTCTTCAGCCGGAAGCTTACACCGGTAACTTGCAAATCTGTTCGGAACGTGATGGATTGGATATGAATGGTTCAAAAGTATATGTAATTTGCATAGCACACTCCCTTCTGTTATTCGCCATGGTTAAAACGAATTGCTTCATGGTTCACAAATTACCAATTCGGCAAATTGGGGATGCTGCGTTTCATATCAGGATTCTATTAATGTCAAACCGATTCAGTTGTACTCGGCTGATGGTAGCAGTAAAGATTTTTATTCGCTATAGATCCAGTGCGCTGATGAACAATTTACGCGGGAAGGGATACGGTGCCGGTGAAACAGTGACTAACGGATCCTACCTTCCACGAACATTAATTACAGTGGATTTTTCCTCGTTAACCCTCAGCGGAACAGGTGGGCCGACATTCTTTTCAGCACTCTTTGAATAAGCCCCGCCCCCCCCCCCCCCCCCACCCCACCACCACCTGTCTTCCATGCTGTGGCTATTGTCCGTCGTTCTCCCTTGTTAACGCGATGCACCATGACGCGTTCCATTCAGACCCCCCGGACAATGCATAGTGAACAGCCCGGCGGTCAACAACTCACTCCTGAAGAATAGCCGGAACACGCTGACGCATCAATAACTCGGCCTCCCTCATTCCCTGGATTTACAGCCGCGATCGCCTCCTTGGACGATTTACCAGTATGTGTTGCAGGGAAATGCAAATCGCCCCGGCTTTCGCTCACGTCGTGGCCGGCCCGACCTGACCTGCTCTCCTTACACTGCCTCTTTCGCAGCGATCCGTATTCGGGCCTGGGTCCGTACGACTATGGCACCGGCACGGACTACACGTACCCGGACCTCCAGTACCAGTACGGGCCCTCAGAGACCCAGGAGATGTACCCAGGTACGGTGCTGGCGCCGCTTAGTGTGAATCAGCATGGTACAGAAAGGTGCTGACATTCCAGTCCAAGATATAAACCTTTCGGGAGCCGTTAGTTAAGTGACTAAATCCCAGTATGAGCTGTTTTATGGTGTGATGGTTTGTGTAGCTCAAAGCGGTGGTTTCACAGTTCGCTATTATATTTAACTACAATGTCTCAATGTGGGAACCGTGGTCATGGGTCAGAACTGCATCGATGTGTTTGACACAGCGGACAGATTTGTTTATAAATGACGTTTGCCGAGCATAAGTATTACAACCGCGCAATATGCGTATCAACAATTTTCTGCCGGCGAATAATAAGACGTGCCAAGTACAGCACACTACTGGAATCGTTGTCATTTGCATGTCGCACAAGGCTGTTCGGCGCAGCGTAGCTCCCCACTGGTGCGTAGCTCCCTGCTGGTGCGCGTAGCTCCCTACTAACACCGTGCCGACCTCAACTCTAACCTGTTGGCCGAGTGTGACCTTGACCCGGTCGCAGGTTACGACCCGCAGCAGCCGGAGCGGTACGCCGTGCAGGACACGCTGGTGCCGGGCGGCGATATGACCAGCACGTCAGAGGTAGCCGACCAGTACAGCAACTACCAGTACCAGCAGCCGGAGAGGTAGGTCAGAGCAGGCCGACCAGTACAGCAACTACCAGTATCAGCAGCCGGAGAGGTGGGTCACAGCAGGCCGACCAGTACAGCAATTACCAGTACCAGCAGCCGGAGAGGTGGGTCACAGCAGGCCGACCAGTACAGCAACTACCAGTACCAGCAGCCGGAGAGGTGGGTCAGAGCAGGCCGACCAAGTACAGCAGCTGCCGGTTCTGCTAGGGATGTGGCCATGATGTGTTTTTTTAATTAATTTATTTCGGATGGCTTGCATGAGTGCCTTTGGTTTCAGAGTACATGCTAAGCAGAGGCTTGTTGCGTGCACCCTAAACCCACCACCCAAGTCGTGCCGTCCAGTTCAACGGATAAGCCGTCCCTGCCCTTTCGCCAGACATGAATGTGGAGGGTTTTGCGTGCCGCACAATACTGCGGAACAGCCGCTCCAGGCCTGGGTCAACCCGCGTTGGCCAGTTGCCAGCTTATCTTTCCTCTTCAGTCGAGCAAAACAATGCGCCTGTCCTGGAACTCCCACCCGATGCTGCTGGATTGCGAATCCAGCATCTTTCCCATAGACCACGGGTACAATAATGATAATGATGATAATTGGCGCTTTACGTCTCGCCGACCACTGGGGCCACTCCGAGGCGGGATGCCTGTGTGAGGTTCCATGCGGGACATGGAAATGGTGTGGCGACGACCCGAACCCAGGGGCGAATTGTCTAGAGCTGAGCGTTCTAGCCACCTCACAACCACCGCCCTCGACGTGGCATGAGGTGACCAGGCAATCACGGAAAGTACCATTGTCATGAAACTAAACGGTGTGCGTTTATCGCAGTCACTCAAGTAACACGACTTGACGTTTCCTGTTTCCGGTGTCGACCTGTCATTCAGAAGTCGCATTTCGTTTTGCTTTTCTATTTAGAATCGCAATGTTTAAGGAGTGAATAAATCACGGTGCATCTTCACGTGCCGCAGCGCTCAGCACGGTCCGGTCTGTCCTCTGACGTCATCTGACCTTTAGTGCGGTCGCTGCCCCAGACTGCGGGCCATCCCGGTCAGGGGCCAATACTGGGCGCCTAAACCGACTCGAACTAACCGAACACGACACGGGTGGGTCGGCCGGCGTAACGAACACCGATCGGCAGGTGGGAAGACGCACTCCCTGACAAATCGTCCTGCCCGAGCAGATGTTACCGTGCCTCCCCTCTGGCAGGTACACGATGGCCAACAACCTGGCACCGGGCGGCGGCATCGACGGCACGAGCGAGGCGCGGGACCAGTACCAGACGTACAACGCCGGCGCCCCCGAGCGCTACACCATGGTCAACAGCCTGCGTCCGGAGGGCGGCATGGAGGGCACGTCCGAGGTGCACGACCGCTACCAGAGCCACGACGCCAGCAAGCCCGAGCGGTACACGATGCAGGGGAATCTGAAGCCGCAGGGAGGCATCGACGGCACGACAGAGGTGCATGATCGGTATGTGGGCCACAATGCCAGCAAGCCCGATCGGTACACGATGCAGGGGAATCTGAAGACGCAGGGCGGAATCGACGGCACGACAGAGGTGCATGATCGGTATGTGGGCCACAATGCCAGCAAGCCCGATCGGTACACGATGCAGGGGAATCTGAAGCCGCAGGGTGGAATCGACGGGAACACGGAGTTCAACTCGAACTATCAAGGTCATGATGCAAAGAAGCCTGATCGGTACACGATGAAGGGGAATCTGAAGACGCAGGGCGGAATCGACGGGAACACGGAGTTCAACTCGAACTACCAAGGGCATGACGCGAAGAAGCCCGATCGGTACACGATGCAGGGGAATCTGAAGCCGCAGGGCGGAATCGACGGGAACACGGAGTTCAACTCAAACTATCAAGGGCATGACGCAAAGAAGCCTGATCGGTACACGATGCAGGGGAATCTGAAGACGCAGGGCGGAATCGACGGGAACACGGAGTTCAACTCGAACTACCAAGGGCATGACGCGAAGAAGCCCGATCGGTACACGATGCAGGGAAATCTGAAGCCGCAAGGAGGCATTGATGGTGATACCGAGGTCCATGACAAATACCAAGGTCACAACGCAAAGAAGCCTGACCGATACACAATGCAAGGAAATCTGAAGCCTCAAGGAGGCATTGATGGTAATACTGAGGTCCATGACAAATACCAAGGTCATAACGCAAAGAAGCCTGACCGATACACAATGCAAGGAAATCTGAAGCCTCAAGGGGGCATTGATGGTGATACGGAGGTGCATGACAAATACCAAGGTCACAACGCAAAGAAGCCTGACCGATACACAATGCAAGGAAACCTTAAACCGCAAGGTGGCATTGATGGTAATACCGAGGTCCACGACAGGTACCAAGGTCATAACGCAAAGAAGCCTGACCGTCATACAATGCAAGGAAATCTGAAGCCTCAAGGAGGCATTGATGGTGATACCGAGGTCCATGACAAATACCAAGGTCACAACGCAAAGAAGCCTGACCGTCATACAATGCAAGGAAACCTTAAACCGCAAGGTGGCATTGATGGTAATACCGAGGTCCATGACAAATACCAAGGCCATAATGCAAAAAAACCTGACCGATACACTATGAAGGGAAGTCTCAAACCGCAGGGGGGTATTGCTGGAAATACGGAGGTCCACGACAGGTACCAAGGGCACGATGCGAAGAAGCCTGATCGACACACCATGCAAGGAAATCTGAGGCCCCAAGGAGGTATTGATGGCAATACTGAGGTCCATGACAAATACCAAGGTCATAATGCGAAGAAGCCTGAGCGACATACAATGCAAGGAAATTTGAGGCCACAAGGAGGTATTGATGGCAATACTGAAGTACATGACAGGTACCAAGGGCATGATGCGAAGAAGCCTGACCGACATACCATGCAAGGAAATCTAAAGCCCCAAGGAGGTATTGATGGCAATACTGAGGTACATGACAGGTACCAAGGGCATAATGCGAAAAAGCCTGATCGACACACCATGCAAGGAAATCTGAAGCCCCAAGGAGGCATTGATGGTAATACCGAGGTACATGACAAATACCAAGGCCACAATGCGAAGAAGCCTGACCGATATACCATGCAAGGAAATCTGAGGCCCCAAGGAGGTATTGACGGCAATACTGAGGTCCACGACAGGTACCAAGGGCATGACGCAAAAAAGCCTGACAGACACACCATGCAGGGACATCTACGACAGGAGGGTGACATGGGCAAAATCAGCGAAACCGATGACAAATTCCGCGGGCATAACGCCAGGAAGCCTGACCGCCCGACGATGCCGGCAAACCTCAGGCCGAACGGCGGCATCGACGGCATCACCGACACCAAGGACAGCTACCGCGGCCACGACGCCGCCAAGCCGGATCGCTTCACGATGGGCACCAACCTGCGCCAGGAGGGCCAGATGCAGGGCGTCTCCGAGATCAAGGACAGCTTCCGCGGCCGGCCGGGACCGCGCGGCGAGCGCAGTCCGATGCCGGACCAGCTGCGGCCCGAGGGCGACCTCGCCGGCGTGACCGAGGCCGCCGACCGGTACCGCGGCCACGCGGCCGACCGGCCGCCGCGCCGCCGCGCCGCCGACAATGTCCGACCCGAGGGCGAGATGGCCGGGTTGACCGAGTACGATGACCGGTACACGCCGATCATGTTCGACGGCGCCGGCCAGAGGACGCGCAGGGCGGCGTCGGGCGCGTCGTCGGTGTCATCGTCCGGCGCGTCGTCGGCCTCGTCGTCGGGCGCGTCGTCGAAGGCGGCGTCGGGGAAACTGGACGATGGGCTGAGCGAGTCACAGCGACCGCCGGCCAAGTTCGGCCGACGTGCGCAGAAGGCGGACGCCTCGAACAAGGCGGGGGGTGGCGAACCTCCCCCGGCAAAGGGGGGCGAAGCCAAGGGCCCGGCGGGCCGCGGCAGGAACGCCGCGGACGGCCTGAGGCCGGAGGGCAAGTACAAGAACGCCGACCCACTCAAGCTGTTCAAGGCACCGGCGATGATCTAAGGGACGGCTTCTCCGGAATGGAGGTGCAGTACCCGAAAACGCACGTGCTACGCAGAGCTGTGGCGAGCAAACCACGGCATCCCGGCCGCTCAGGCCTGCCTTGCTCACGTATTGTTGTGCTTTGGGCGAACAGAGGAATATGCACCCACACACGTATCGGTTGTGCTATGTGGGCTTGCGTGCGGTTACTGCAATTATGGCATGCATCACGTTATGGATGAGCGATGTGCAAATTCGTTCAAACCAAGGAAGATGTATGGCGTGGTGACGTTCCGTGTTGTAGGCGAAGGCACGCCTACGGCACACCCTGGTTCAGTTCGTGTCGATTCTGATGAGTCGAAAGAACAACCTTAATAATCAAATATCATACCGTCCATCATGAATCCGAGCTATCCCCAGCCGCGTTCCTAAAAGCGCCTGCGCTTACCCATGATGTGTATTGTCGCAACAAGACAAACACTTCGAAGCGATGTCAATCCTCACGAGTTAATGAAGCATCCCTGGATTTGTTCCCGACTACGCTGCTAGTGCTCTTATGCTGTAGATTTACGTTGGCGAATATGTGTCGCGAACTGCAGTGGTGTGTGTGTGGGAATCAGTGCCTTATCTTAGCTGTAAAGCCTCAGCTTTCTGTAGCTCTGGCGTGCAATGGCAGTCTTTAAGCTGAACTCAGAACATCATATTTTGTTGTGTTTCGCCGACATTCGCAGACAACGCCAGTCTTCTCCGAATGGTTGAAGCTCGTTTCGGTAGAAGGTATACTCGCCTGCGTCACCAAAACGTCACCCAAACGCGGTGCATACGGCATTCACACCTCCTGGAATAAAATAACCCTTGAGATGTTTGATCGGCATCTGGACTGATTGCAAACCGGAGCGACATCATACGAACTCAACGACCCTCAATAAGCCTAGGCCCGGTTTTCCTGGAGAAGCTGTTGGCAGCGCAACCGTGTCTCGACTGCGTCGTTATCGCTCCATTGCTCGTTATAGCGAAGTGAAACAATACATGTTTATGTTTTGGCATCGAGTTTTAAATCAGCCTAGACAGCAGTTTCATTTGGCAATCGGTGGTAGCACCAAAGCTGCCTGATTATCATATGATCAAAGCTTGAAAGAAATATTCTACGTCGGCTCCGTACCAAGACATCGTTCTTCTCGCTCTCAGTGCTCGGGATTGCATTCGACATCGGCACCGCGGCCAGCGTTCCAGATCTATGCCCATCGTCTGATTCGCCCACGCTCGTAACGTGTTTGGTTAATGAAAAAAACACATAACATTGGACTTGCCTGACAGTAGGTAAGCGACCCGAGACATTACATCTCTCAGTCCACATCGACCGCAGTTTTGAAGATACGACCATCTTGCATCGAATACCCAGGCCGACCACGACACAATACGGTAAGCATCCATTCCGAACACTCAGTAATGCCACACGTTAACCAGGTCATTAATTTATTGTATAAAGCATACCGGCGGCCAGCCACCACCCTGATCACAAATGTCCCCTCCGACGGCCGCGTCATCGGGACCGGGGTGCCACCCTGCCACCTGGCGTTAATTGAAGCAAACTGGCGGCGACAGGTTCGCATCGGACCCCAGACCGTGGCCGAGTACGCCGAACGGACCCCGCGCCGCGCCGACTAGAAACAAACCAACGCCGCCGGCGCGACGGCATTCAGTGCGGCGGGCCTCCGCCGAGCCGAGATTCACTGGGGCGGCGCCTCTCCGAGCCCTGGCCGGGCTCGTCGCCAGCCAGGGCCACCGGGAGCTCGGACGCCCTCCGGCGGCGCCGACCCCACCGGCCCGGCGGGCTGACCACCCTCGGCGTCCGTCTCCGCACCCGTCCCTCGCACCGGCGCACCAGCGAACACTTTTTGGCGTCAGTCTCCAGCTCCAGACCACTGGGTCTCAGTCCAGCGGGCGTCAGTCCAGCGGACCTCAGTCCACCGGGCGTCAGTCCAGCGGGCCTCAGTCAACCGGGCGTCAGTCCAGCGGGCCTCCGTCCAGTGAGCCTCCGGGTTCAGTCCACCGGGTTCCAGTCTAGCGGGCCTCAGTCCAGTGGGCGTCAATCAACCGGGCCTCAGTGCAGCGGGCCTCAGTCCACCGGGCCTCAGTCCAGCGGGCCTCAGCACATCAGCTGGCTGGGCGCCGCCGTCCGCCCCCGGCCGGGCGGCGCCGATCGCGTCAGTCCAGCTCGCCCGTGTCCATCTTGGCCACCTTGGGCACGGGCGACTTGGTGGAGGTGCCGGAGGCGGCGTCACCGTCCGAGTCCGAGTCATCGCCGCCCTCCAGGCCGGACATCAGCGACTGGATCAGGTTACCTGCCGACCGGGCACGTGCTGCCAGAGGCTGGGCCATCGCCTCACACGCGGGCACACAGCACTAGCGGCCGGCATGGACGGCGATGGCGGCTGGGGCTCGGGACGGCGTGAGAGGGGTGGCCGCTGGTCAAGTAACAGTATGAAAAGCCACTGGTGCAGATAGACAATGCTCTGACAAACAGGGAGCATTGCAACAAACCGGTGGCAGGCTAGCAAGGACCAATGAGGTATGTAGACAAGTCACATTTCATAAAGTCACATTACCGGCCCTCCCGACACCTCCAGCGGCGGTCTCACTCCCTCCCTCCCTCCCTCACTCACCCACCCACTCACTCACTCACTCACTCACTCACTCACTCACTCACTCACTCACTCACTCACTCACTCATCACTCACTCACTCACTCACTCACTCACTCATTCACTCACTCACTCATTCACTCACTCACTCATTCACTCACTCACTAGCCCGCCTCCCTCCCTCCCTTACCGAGCATGCCCTGTTGCCGCTGCGGCGGCTGTATGCTGAAGAAGACGAGCCCGACCCGCGCCTGCAGCTTGGCGAAGGTGGGGTCGCGCTCCAGGCTCGGCCGGTAGATGTCGCAGAGGGCGCGGAACTGGCCCGCCTCGCCGCTGCCGGCCAGAGCGGGCACGGTCAGACACACGCGTGGTCGGCACGGCACCCACCGGCCGTCCAGAGCGGGCACGGTCAGACACACGCGTGGTCGGCACGGCACCCACCGGCCGCCCGAGCAGGCACGGTCAGACACACGCGTGGTCGGCACGGCACCCACCGGCCGCCTAACGGGCACGGTCAGACACACGCGTGGTCGGCACGGCACCCACCGGCCGGCCAGAGCAAGCACGGTCAGACACACGCGTGGTCGGCACGGCACCCACCGGCCGCCTAACGGGCACGGTCAGACACACGCGTGGTCGGCACGGCACCCACCGGCCGGCCAGAGCGGCCGGCGCCGGTGCGGCACCAAGAGCCAGTCTGTTCCCGAGCCGTCATGTGCGAGACGCAGACGCTCGGGCAGCTACACGCGCGCGGAGGCTCAAATCCGAGTGCCTGCGACAGACTGCGAGATCGTTCACGCACGGTTGCCGCTGTAAGGCGCCACGGGGGACCGGTTCGGACGTGTCCACGCGTGCGTTACCTGATGGCGTCTTACACGCACAACTGGCGCCACATAAAACCAACGCCGGTCCTCTCGACACGAAGCGCAGACCACAGCCATGACGGTCAACACAGACAAACGGGCTGAGCGCCTCTCCGGCCCCCGGAATGACAGCCGGCCGCCGGGCCCGTCTCACCTCTCCACCGCCTTCAGCAGGTAGTGGAGGAAGTTGAAGAGGGGCAGCGTGAAGGGCGGCGCGTCGGCCTGCACCAGCGGGTGCCACTTGAGGTAGCCGGCGAAGCAGGCGGCCGCTGCGTGGCTGTTCTTCAGCGCCAGGTACCTGCCGGCAGCGGAACGCCGGTGATGGGTCTCCAGGGTCTCCCGGCGGTACGGCCATGGCGCTCCGTATGTGGCGGCTGGCTGATGTTCCCCACGCGCGTTGCCAGTGCGGCGATGATGTTAAACACATCAGCCGAAACTCCCTCTTGAAGATGGCGATTATTGCTCAGTACAGCCGTGCAACCGCCGTCATTGTAATGTGCCTATACACCAGCTGAATAGCAACAAATACAACGCAATGGCGGAGACGGTTCGGACTTGAGGACAACGCATACACCGCGAGATCAATCTCTGTACTTTAAGATGTAGCGGGGGAGTTCTGGTGCAGGCGATAGCACTGCAACTATAGTCTGTAGGTCACGTGCTCATCCGTAGGGCAGAGCAGAGCGCAATGACTACTCGTCACAGAGACCATCGTGGCAAGTGATAGCAGCGTCAAAGACGTCTGCCAGTGCCACGGCTGCGGAAGGATCCGCACAATCAACAAACAAAGGCCACCGATGAGTTTATTATTCCACGTCGAACGGGCCGTGTCATCTCGATGTGGCCGCACTCACTGTAGGACGGCCTGTGTGATGAACAGGTCGATCTCGTCGGCGGCGCCCCGCTGCGTGTGCAGGTCGACCAGGAGGCGCGCGCATGTCTGGCCGTCGTCAGAGCGTATCAGGTGGTAGCGCGCTCCGGCTAGGTCACCCTCTGCGGCAGAACAGCATCGGCCGACCCGGCGTCAGGGCAGTCTCACCAGGCGTGACGTCAGATGACGTCACCACTCTCATGGCCAAGTCATCCCCTACAGCAGTACAGCACCGGCCGGCTCGGCGTCAGGGCAGCCTCATCAAGCATGACGTCATATGACGTCACCTGTTTTGGCAAAATTGGGGCACGAGCGAAAGCACCGCACAGGAGACGCATGATTCTTTACGACTTTACCATACAAGAGGCATCTGGTGAACCATCGCCCGTGGGTCATAACATCGAAATCAGCAGCGAGGCAATTAGCGAAAGTGCGAAAAACGACAGCGGCTAGTATCGAACACCGGGAAGCGGGAACACCAGAACTAGTCAACAAGCCATCGGGATTTCCAGATCGCCCAAGCCCTCCTCGCTTCTGTGCCTGGGCTAAAACGTGGCACCAGACAAGCCATCCTGCAACCACGAACGTACTTAGCAGCCGTCCGTTAATCCGTGGGGATAACCGGTCTCATCATTCGTGGAAG